TCTCTAACATTGAGGATTAGATAAGTTTGCCTGATCCATCACCACGATATAAGGTGAAGAGCTTGGATTGTGAGGCGGCCGTTGACTCGCAATTCTCACGGGGCACAGGGGTGAGAAAGGGTGGTGCAGGAAATCTGCGTGGTTTTCTTTGAAAAGCCTGGCTAGGTTCGTACTAGGATCAGCTTTCAATTTGCCTCTGGCGCACGCTATGCATTTCAAAGCTGTAGAGCCTTTGATGGGGCAGTTATGTGCATGGTGTGGTCCAGAACAAGAAGGACACATAGTTTCTAGTTTACATGCAGCGGCAGTATGACCCACACCTTGGCAGTTAAAGCGCCGCGTTGGTGGTGGTCCACACAATTCCGTACGGTGACGGCCTCTCCCATGCCACACTTTAGTGCAGGCTGCGATGGTCGCTTGATTCAGCGTTTTAAACCCGATCAGCAGGGAGGAATGGCGTTTCGCCGAGTCTTCGGTCGTATCTTTCTTTAACCACCTCACGAAGAGGGTGTCATTAAGGAGATCGCCATTACATATCTTCAAGAGATCTAAGTCTTCTTGTCTGGTGGGGTTGAAGGTGGTGGGAATGCCATGTATGATGACAGAGTGGATGTCCTCTTTGAGTGAGAGATTGGGGGAGATTTTAGGAAGCCAGCATGCAGCCTGTCCTCGAAGCGCCTGGGCTTGTTTTTGGGACTCTAGGTAGATTACCAAGTCACCTGATGGATGGCGGTGGATATTCCTGACCTCCACGTGGGATACGTCGTCCATGGTGACTTTGATGTTGTTGTTTTTCAGGACTAGGTTGAACTCCTTGATGAGTTCTGGAATCGGTCGTCCGCCTCCAGCGATATTTGCTGGGTCCCTTTGGTTAAGCGTGAGCAAATGCTCCATCTTAGGGCGGGGGCGTTGTGTTTGGTTAGCTTTGAAGCTCGTTGGGTTTGGTCTTTGGGGTTGACTTGCTCCCGGCGCGTGTTTCGAGGCGGCCAGAGCGTATGAACTGCCTGTTGGTTGTTTCTGCTGGCCTGGCTGTTTGTCAGGTGTGACTACAGACACGAGCTTGGCCATTTGTTCGGCTAGCTCTGCGACCTTGTCTGCAAGAGAGTTGTTTCGGAATTCAAATTGGGCGTTTGACGCGATTGATGACGTGGTGGGGATCGGGACAGCTTGTCGTCCTGGTTCGAAAACCACCCGTCTTGCTTCAGAGACCGAAGCCTGTTCTTTGATCAACTCGGCGAGCATAAGGATATCAGCTGCCGAGTCGATATCGACTTTGACCGATTTGGCCTGCTTTGACTTTGGGATCAAAGTGGCCCTTGATACATTGATAAGTTTATCAATGAGCGCTCCAAGAGGTTTGGACGATGCACCAGAGGCACCGAAAAGCTTCGTGATCCGAACTGATCGAGGAGTTCCGGTGATCTCCTCGATCCCTTCCAGGGGGCTCGGTGAGGGAGCGCGCTGACGAAGGCGTTTTCGCGTGCTCTCCAGCGAAGCTGGAGTGCTCGCGACCGAGTTAGAAGTGATGAAGGGGGGGATGATGGCCTTATCGGTGGCGTTTGAGGTGGAAGGACGTGTTTTGGGGGTGGACGGAGTCGTTTTGCCCGTCAGGTCAGACTCTATCAACGCGTCCATCGCGTCCATCGCGTCCTCGTGCGTCGATGCGTCATCTTGGTAGGCATGATAAGCAATGAGTGATGAGGACTTTGTTCTAAAAAAAGTTCGATATTGAACTAAAAGGGAAAAAAGAAGGGTATATAAGGAACAAAAAAAAAACCCCGCTCCGGGCTACAGGCTGGATGGAAGGTTCTGGAAACATGCGCGCAGGCCCCGTTTTGGGCCGTTTGCCTGCGCGCATGTGCTCGCAGGCCCTGCAGGCCGCATATCTGCGCCGCAAAACGTGCGGCGCCCGCCACATGAATTGTCTCACTGCTCTTATCAGTCACCGAGATTCTATTCTCGTCAGTTGCTAAAATTAGCACCTTCCTCAGCCTTATAATCAACTCGCAATTGGTTATGAGCCCAGTGTGCACGATATTTTAATTTTTTTCGACCAATCAGTCATGTCTTTGTCGTCTACCAACACCCAAACCCCGCCGCAGCGCGGGGGAATTCAGCTTCCCGGAGCCAGCGGCGGGATCGACCCCAGTGGAAAGCCAAACTCACCCCAGCGCTACCGCAGGGAGAAAAATCGTCTTTGGGGTCGCGGCGCGCTCGAAACGGTCGCAGCGCGCCGCAGGGCACCTCACTGCGGTCGTTTTGGGCCAAAGGTAAAAAAAAATTGTATTACCTACCGAAGGACAAAAAAATTTAATACCAAAAAAGAAATGTTTTATAAAGCAATCACAAGCTATTCTACTAATCTCAATCTACAATTATGAATCCTTTCTTTTTCTTTTTATCCTCGCCTTCCAAGTATGTGGTAATATATTTTATAGCTGTACCATACTCACCTCCTGGGTCTATGCAATCCTTTAACCACTCACGTGAGCAAACCAACCTGCTCATTGTGGAAGGAAGGAGCCCACCACGATCTTGCGTGCAAATATCGGCTGCACTAGAGAATACGCGCTCAGCCGGGCAACTGGTGCCCGAAACCGCCAAGTAGTCTCGTGCCATTGTCGCAAGTACTGGGAATATAGCTTTGTTTCTCTGTTAGAACGAACATATTAAAAGGTCAATCATATTTTATTGAAAGGTGACATGAGGAATCTTTTGGACTCACATTCCACCAATCGAGTGCAGTCTCATTTTTCTCAAATTCGCGGTGACCCATCAAGTAGGATTCTAGTTCACCTTCCTGTGCCGAGTGCGTTGGATTGGTGTTGGAGCTGGCAGTATATTCATTGAAGTCATCGTCATCTACAACATCGTGTTGGACATCTGGCAGAGGCTGTGATTGAGTGGTGTCTGATTCTTTTCGGGCGGTGTTCAGCGCAGAAGCAAATGCTTCATTGAGCCAAGTTGTTGCCTGGTCTTTGTGATCCGGATAGGCCTTTTGAAAGAACGCTAGACGATATTGTGGGTGCATAATTGATGCCAAGACAAGTGCCTTGCATCGAAGTGCTTCATCGACGTATAGGTGAAGCTGGTCTAACATTACACCTACCATGTCTATTAATGGTTTCGATTTCGTCTTCTTCCGAGCTTCATTGAGTGAATTCTTGATCTGGTGATATTCCACAAGAGCCATAGCACCCGAGGGAAAGTCCCCCTCCATGCGTTTGGTTCCAATTGCAAAAATCTGTGGAACATGTTAGAAATAAACATATTATAACCAAACCGAGGATATTGATCCACATACCTCTAATATGCTATTCAGTGCCTCGATTGCTTCCCATTCATCAGCATGTATCAATATCCCTTTGAAAAACTGTGCACCTTTGCGATCAGTCGCGAGCATCTTATTAACTATCTGTGAGGATACGAAAGGTTTCAATTAAAAAGGTTCGATAAGATAAAGCAATCAATATGCTACCCACCTCTTGTGCAGCGCACATGCGCTTTCGAGAGTCGTATATAACATTCCAACGAATGCCGTATCCTGCGATTGGTGTCCGGTGATCCAACCCGGCTTCCTTACAAAGCCCCCTGAATTCTTGACGACGAGAATGAGAGCCAGCAATCTTTTTGCTGACAGTATCGACCTGATAAAACATATTGGTCGGTTTCTCAAAAGGCAACTCAACAAGTTAAGCTTTGAAATTACCTTTTGAACTGCAGTCGCATAGATATTGCCTGGATGGCTTGCTAAGACCTTCTCAACTGATGAACACAATTCTTCTTTGGGAAGTTCTGGACCTTGATCGGATTCGTCCACATCTTCTTCTTCATCCGAGTCAGCTGACTCAGCGTCGACCTCAACTGCCTGGTTGTTAAGCTGAAAGGTGGGTAAGGGAACAGCCACATTGGCGTCGGTGGTTGGTTTCGAATGTCCTGATTCAATTGATAATGCTTTTAACCCGGCCTTCACCACTAGAGCCAACTTGTGGCAATAGCATCGAGCATGGTTTTGGGAACTAGCCCATTCCACAGGTTTCTCACTGGCGGCGAACATGACCTCCATCTCAATTGCCATGGTGTTGTTGTTTGAGCCTGAGTCGGTCGTTTGCCCTAAAACGTGAGTATCGTGATGAAAGATTAGCTAAATGACGCAAAAAAACATAACCAAAGGGAACACTTATCTTATGGTGTAAGTCGTGACGGACTAGATACCTAGCAACCGGGCGCGCCAAAAGCGCTCCATAGTGGTTCCAAGCGACCATCTTGAGTGTCAGTAAAACCCTCTGATATCGAAAATCGGCATCGATATAACAAGCTATCAACGCTATGAAAGCGTATCGGTTTCCTCGGGTGGTCCACACATCGTGGACTAACCAGATACGGCTGGAATTAGCCTGTGGAAACAAGAGACAGATAAAAGGAAGCAGATGTGTGAGAAATTGAAGTGATGGTAGAAAATAGATACATAGATTAAAGAGACACACCTTTACTTTTCGCAAAACCTCACCATGAAGCGACTTGTAGATTTTTTTAGCAGTTTGGGCAGCCCAAGTAGGGGATCGCATGTCGGCAGATGGGTTGGCTAATTTAAAGGCGCTTCGTAATATTGGATCGGAGAATCGCAACCAAGGAAGAGCTTGCCGGATGATCCATAAGACAAGTAAGACGTTGAGTAACTGAACACTGAATGAAGGTCGATCCATGAAAGCAGACATAAATTTTCCCCCAGCGGTCTCTTTATTAGCAGCCTTCTGTAATTCTTGGTAGGTAGGTGGCAGTTTCATTCCAGATTTTATTGCTTTCTTACGGCCGGGGCAAGGTCGACGGTCCTTGTCACCATCTCGATGGCCATAGAGATTGTCGTTCGATTTGAAACCTTGGGTATAGTACTCACCACACCACTTGCACGGGTAGGAGCGCTTGAAGGGCCCAGTCTATACAAGGGAAGCAAAACCAAGTGAGTGATGAGATGGTTTCGATGGCAATTTGAAAGATTGTTAACTACTTACCTCGTCTTTGTAATGCTTGGGAGCTCCATAGTACCTCATAAGCTCCTTGACATCGCCTCGGTGGCCCGGTCGGGTTTCGACAGCCTCGTTCTCGTCTCCAGAGGAGTCCTGATCAACATTGACCACAGTAGGTACTCCTTTGTCTTTGGTACCCTAACGCACCAACCAAAGAGAAAACATAGATGAGGATCACGTGTAGAGGAAAGTGAGAGCAAGACAGAGGACTCACCTTGGGCTTGGGTACTGTTTTTCGTTTCTTTGTGACGTTCAGATCAGGCTCGTCGTTGTTGGCCTCCTCCCGGCCTCGTTTTGCAGAGTCTTTTGAAGTAGAGACAGGCGTAGTAGGATGAGAGGCAGGGTTACTGCCCTCTCTTGTGATCCTACGTCGTGAGTCTGACCCTGTTAAGACAAAACCGGGCGATGGTTGCTGTGGAGAACGGTTTCGTAGCTGGCGAACTGGGGTTGATGATGGAGGTGCAAGACTTTTGGATGTCGATGGTCCAGTGGATGTCGGCATGGTGTAAGTCATGGAGGTAAGTGGAGATTGGTTTGAAACGGGGAAAGGTATGTGGAAGTCGAAGAAAGATAAGACCACTGAGACTTTCAGACAAAATGGGTAAAAAGGAATTAGTCAGTTTTTTTAAGCCGATCTGAAAGAAAAACGTATAGAAAACGCAACTTGGGGTCACCCTGGATTCGCCCATGGTGACTGCTGATCCGGTGAATCCAATGGGGAGGGATCTTGGCAGATTAATGGCGATCGATACTGATTGATGAGGTCAGGGGTGTTGGACAAAGCTGAAAGGTGAGTACAGCTCGCCTTGGCATCAAACCCCTGCGCCCCAGGGTTACCCCTGGGGTCCGGTCAATTGGGCAGCGGCGGGTTGTACCGCAGTGAAAACCGGGCCCTGGCGCGGTTTTCACCCCAGTGGTCAATCCGTGGACTGAGTCCGCGGCGGGACCCCCGCGCTATCGCAGCGCTGCCCCAGTTTCCCGCGGCGGGGTTTGGGTGTTGTGTCTACCGCAGGAGGTACAAAGCATTCGACTATCAAGCAATTAAATGAGACCGAATTTTCTCAATGGCCCCTGAATATGTACGGTTGGATGTTAGAGCATGATCTTGGCTCTTTTATTTCCTCTCCTCATCCAGCCATACCACCAACCGACTCTTCTCTTTATGCCAATTTTGTCAAACAAAGAAATAGTGCTCATGGTGTCATTCTTCAGTGTCTTGATCAAACTTCTAAAGCCTGTTTTGTTACAAACGCCAATATGTTAACTCCCAATGTTTTGTGGGATTCTATTTTATCGTCTTACCAAGCTTCTGATGCTGCTAGTCAAAGTCGTGTATTCTTAAGCTTCTTGCGCGTATCCTTTTCTTCTTTATCTCAATTCATCAAATATATACGTCAAGGAATGACTGATTTGGTTAATTGTAATGTTACCAACAACATCGGAGACGGACCGTTAGCTGAAATTATTGTTCATAAACTTCCGGATTCTCTTGCTACTTTTAAAGAACTTATGTATTCCAAACGTCCTTTAAAAACCAAGGTTCTTCTGGAAGCTCTTGATGACCACCACGCTGACAAAGAAGAAAACAACAAACCTGAATCAAACACCTTATCCTCTTGTCGTGTTACTTCTAATGCTATTAACAATTGAAATAACTCTTCGGCTAATCGCAACAACTCCAACTCTAACTCTAGACGAAACTTCTGTTCGAATGGTGTTCATAATCCTCTCACTAAACATCATAGAGATGACTGTTGGACTTTATGGTGTGAAAAGCGACCTGCTAATCTTCGTCAACGTGCTACTCCTGAAACTGCTCCTGTTGTCAACAGCTCCCAATATGTCGATGATGCCATATTTTCAGTTCAAAACACATTTGCTGCCTATGTCGGTGCTGTTCAGTCTTCAGATTTTTCTCCTGCTTATTTTTCACAAGCTTTGGCTGTAAAAACCGTTCCATCTGTATCGCCTAAACTTCTCGACAGTGGATGCTCTGATCATATGACTTCTGACATTCAAGATTTCACTACTTATTCACCTAAAATGTCTACTGTTTCTCTTGCTGATGGTATTGTAATTCAAATCATTGGTGAAGGTACTATTCATGGGTCAAGCAATGGATCAATTAACTCTTTTCATGCTTTCCATGTTCCAAAAGTCAATGGCACTTTACTCAGCCTTGGAAAACTCATGCTTGAAGGTTGCTCCTTACATAGCAAAGAAGATTCGTTCATTGTTAAAAGGAATGATTCTCCCATTTTATACGGTTCGATCCACGATGGAGTACTTGAGCTCGATCTCAAACTCGGTAAATACGCTTTACCTTCTATTGTTGCTTCGTCTGCTCGTTTGCTAACCACTTATCACACTCTTCATAGACTTGCTGGCCATGCCAACTCTGATTGTTTGAGGGTTTTGTTTCATCGTTCTCGTCCTCCAAACTGGTCTTGTGAAGCTTGTGTTCTGTCTAAAGTTCATTGATTACCTTATAAATCATCTCTTCCTGTATCGACTGTTCCTCTTCAGTTTGTACACAGCGACTTAAGCGGAAAAATTGCTGTCTCTTTTTTAGGAGATGCTTCTTACTTTAAGCTTACCGATGCTTGTACCTCTTATAAATATATTTATGTCTTAAAATTGAAATCTGAAACTTTTTCTTGTTTTCTCGAATTTAAAAATGAAGTCGAAACCTTTCATCAAAGAAAGATTATCTCACTCGTCAATGACAGGGGGGGCAAATATATGTCTCAGGAGTTTCTTACGTGCCTTAAAGAGAATGGTACTACCATGCATCTATCAGCTTCGTATACACCTCAGCAAAATTCTGTTGCCGACAGAGGAAATCATACAACTTCCAAAAAAGCAAGAGCACTCCTAAAACAAGCTGGTTTACCTCCCAGCTATTGGGCTGAAGCTGTTTCAACTGCTGTTTTTCTTGAGAACGTCACTCCAATGGAAAAGCACTCCAACAAAACGCCTTATGAATTATGGCATCAACGACCATTTGATTATTCTTGCCTTCATCCTTTTGGCTGTCGTTGCTATGTCCTTATTCCCAAACATCTTCGTGATGGGAAGTTTGGTGATACGGCTGCTAAAGGCATATCGTTGGGTTTTCAAATCAAAATGCATAGTTTTTGAGTGCAACTTGAAAACGGCTCGATCATCTACAGTCACAATGTAAGTTTTAATGATGAAATTTTTCCTGGTGTTCATGATTCTCAAAATAGTGAGGATGAGTTTGTCATTGAAGATGAAGACGATATCATTCACAATTCATTATCTCAAGAACATCATGATACTCCGCCTGCGTCACCTCATATTCCACCTACACCTTTCAACTCTCCTCAATCTCCACAATGTGATGAGTCTCGAGCACTTGTTCCTGTCAAAAGAACGCCTCAAGTTCCACCAATTGCTGGCTATGATGACATGGGTGATATCATTATGTGGCATCCTTTACCATCTCCACCTCCTACTTTTGTTCCAACCAAGCATTCTTGGGATTGGCAGCCCTCAACAGTTCCTGCAGTTCATGATATCTCAAGCAATATTGACGAATCCAACATTCTTCCTGAAGGATCAAAAAGACATCACATTCAAGCTGCTAGACAAGTTCAATGTGCTCGTGTAATGTCCGCTTGTTGAATTTGACGCGCAAGATCAGCACGATTAGGCAACATTCCTTTTCCTACATCATTGAAAGAAGCAATGTCAAGAAAAGATGCTTCTTATTGGTCTGCAGCTATTCAGGCCGAGCTTAAAGGTATGGAAGACAGGAAAGTTTGGGATATTGTTGACTTACCTGATGGTGCTCATGCCATTGGAACAACATGGGTGTTTAAGAAGAGATTTGGAGCAGAAGGTGAACTTATCAAGTATAAAGCTCGATTGTGTGCTCAAGGTTTCTCTCAAAGGCCTGAAGATTTCAACGACACTTTTGCTCCAACAGGTCAATTGCTTTCTCTACGTGCTCTTATGGATGTTGCTGCTGTCGAAGATCTCGATATTCACGTTATGGATGTCAAGCTTGCTTTTCTGAACGGAGTCCCTAAAGAAACAATTTATTTACGTATTCCAAAAGGTTTGATTATTCCCGGCACTTCCAAAAAATCTGTTCTGCGACTCAACAAATCCATCTATGGCTTAAAGCAATCTCCTTGGTGTTGGCACGACGTCATCAAAGTGTTCTTTCTTAGCATCAACCTCAAACAAACTCCTTCAGATCCGTGTGTTTTTGTCTCTGATGATCCGAATTGGAAGTGTTACGTTCATCTCCACATTGACAACATGACCATAGCTAGTGATAACGTTCAAAGATTCAAAGACTTAATCAACAAAAATTTTGATATGGATGATTTAGGTGAAGCTAAGTTTATTCTTGGTATGAAAGTGACAAGGAATTGTAAAGCTCACACAATTTCTCTATCTCAGCCTCAGTATGTTGGCAATTTACTTGAAGAGTATGACATGTTAGAAGCTAATCCAGTTGGTAGTCCAATGATCGATAATACACATCTTGTTCCCGGAACTGATCAAAGTCAACAAGAATTTATTGATTCAGGTGAAGATTATCGACACGCTGTTGGTATGCTCATGTATCTCTCTCTTGCCACGAGACCAGACTTAGCTTTTGTAGTTTCTCAGTTATCTCAGCATTTTGAAAGGCCAGACATGGTGCATTGGGCAGCCTTCAAAAGAGTTTTGTGTTACTTGAAAGGTACTCAACATTACGGATTGGTCTTAGGAGGTGATAATTTGGATCTTCAAACTTATAGTGACTCTGATTTCGCTGGATGTCCGTATACTCGTCGTTCAACTACTGGTATGATTTCACAACTTGGATCCGGGTGCATCAACTGGAGAGCAAAGAAGCAAGAAGGTGTTGCAGGGTCATCTACAGAAGCTGAATATCGTGCGATGTACAAAGGGGGTCAGGATTTGTGTTGGTTCACTCAATTTATGAAGGATATTAATAAGACATTAGCTTCGACTGCTTTATCACTAGCAGATAATCAAGGCGCAATTGGCCTATCAAAAAATGCTCAATTTCAAAATAGAACAAAACACATTGATGTGAAGTATCACTTTATTCGTGAACATGTAGACAAAGAACATTTCAAAATCAAATATATTCCAACTGCCGATATGCTAGCAGATATGTTTACTAAATCCTTACCACCGTTCACACACAAGGAGTTTTGTAGAAGAATAAATCTTTTGGATTTAGAGAACCGGGGAGGGAATTGAGGTATAATGAATACATCATATTTGGGGTTATCTAATCTAAGATGTTATCCTTCTCTTATTTGTTTCTCATCTTATATCTATGATATCATATGCTTATTAATCATATAACATCATTGCTGTGTTTGTTGTACGTGACCGTTATTGTGTTTCTTTGGTATAAATTGGTGTTGCCTTTAGCCTAATTGTCTTTCTCTTTTCTTCACCGATTTCTACCTTCACTTTGAGCAGGTATTGTCTCACTGCTCTTATCGGTCACCGAGATTCTATTCTCGTCAGTTGCTAACATTAGCACCTTCCTCAGGTTATTATCTCTCTTCTCCATTTATGTTGTGTTGCTCGTATGCTTTAATATAATCTCTTACCAATTTCTACCTTCACTTTGAGCAGGTATTGTCTCACTGCTCTTATCGGTCACCGAGATTCCATTCTTGTCAGTTGCTAACATTAGCACCTTCCTCAGCCTTATAATCAACTTGCAATTCAAAGGCTTACAAAGGGGTTTTATAAGTTGCCCCTTTGACAACCAAGCAAGGCCTCTTATTATGCATGCCAATGTATGTCATGACTGTATACCATATATTCTTGATCTTCCTCCTGGTCAGAGGTTTGAGTACTATCTGATGGTGTTTCAGGGCTAACAAAGTAAAACTTTCACAAAACTTTATTCATTTGAGTCATCCATGCACCAGCCTACATGCTAAGAATCCAATCCATCACCTAAGTTCTAACCCCGCCTTCTCTTTGATGTGAATCATGAACCCTTCAAAAAGAATGAAATGAAATCCAAGATAACTTTTCATTTGAATCAAGAACATAATGCTTAAAATTACTTGAGAAAGATATTCTTCATATCCTATTGACTACAAAGAAGAAATACAAATTAAATCTTTGAAGCATAATAGAAACCATCAACCTAATGTTGTAGCATGTATAACAAACCTATCCATGTACCCAACAAAACAAAATAGCCTACATAATACCTTCAAGATTGTAGTGAGATACAAGAAGAGAGAAGTTGATTATGTATGTATTTGACTATTTAATGAGTAATGAGAATCAAAGATAAAAGGAAATTAAAGCATAGGTTAAGATGTGCAAAGATTTGATGAATTATTGAATAATAAGAAAAGAAAATGTAAAAACTGCATTAAGATAAGAAAACAGAAACGGAATAGAATCCCTTAGTATTTAGAAACCTTAAGTTTTTTAGTAGGCCTAGAATCAGATGAAAGGTTACTATCAATCGATTCATCATCACTTAAATCTTCTTCAAATCTCCTTTTTTCTCCTACTAATGGTTCTATAGATAAAAAACTTTCAATTAATTCTTCATCTGAAACTTGACTTATATCATTCGAGTATCTTTCTCTAACAATCTACACAAAACAAAAACAGAGAAAAAGAAATCAATTCAATTAGTTTGCAACTTCTTTAACTTTTCATAATCTTTTTACATTTATAGATCCAAAAAAAAAGCTTATTTGATATTAGAAAAACTTAACTAAAACTTTGGGTAAAACTTTATCTTTAAAGATTTGAATTTGTTGAAACTTTCTACAATAATCATCTGTAATCGAACAAACTTCTAAGATCGTTCTAATTTCTCTGACCGATAAATTTTCAATAATAAAATCTAAGTCCATCCAACTTTGAGGAGATAAGAGTGGCGCTTTAAATTCAGATGGTATATATAATGATTTCTTCTTAGTTGATTTTGTTGTTGTTGTTGTTGTTGTTGATTTTGGAGTATCTTTAGAACTCGAAGCTGATCTAGTGGTCACCATTGTTTTATGATGACGTATTGATCGATATCTTGGATGAGTTGTTGGTCTACGTCTGCGGTGTGAATGGATTGGAACAGGAATGATTCCAGAGTCAAAGACTGCTTCGAGTTTCATCCAGATGTCCTCCATTTTTGTTTTAACTATTCAAAACCGGAATAAGTAAAATACTTTTGAAAGTTAGTCATGAGTCATTTACACAATCTCATTCAAGAATCGGAAAAGGGAATTCTACTCACACAAAATGTGCTTTTTGATGAATTTAGAATCCTTGGGTTGTTCCAGTAGCCAAGTTCAAGTCGAATATATGCAGATCAAAAAGAAATTCTGGTAAGAAAAGCCAATTCAAGACAAGTGATATCAATCACCAAAACAACAATGATCAGAAAACAATAAACGTCGCGTGTTTTCTTAAGCTTAAGATCAAGAAACTGATTTCAAACCTTTGAAGATATCAAAAAAAGATGGATATGGTAATGAAATCGATGCTCGTATAGTGAAATAAATCTTTCAACTCGTAAAACAATTCGTTAATGAATTTAAATTAACGCGTTTGTAGAAAAAGAATCAAGCGATAATAGTTTTTTCACAAAAGCATATATCAATGTTTAATGAGACTTATATATATATATGTTGAAGATGTATGCGGAGTTGAAAAAACCGATTGGAAAGATCAGCTTCCTAAATGAAAAAACACACAGATGAAGTTCTATCAACCGAGTAGGTGAAATCGAAAAAAAGAATTCAGCTGGGAAGATTCAGAAGGATAAATTGAGAAAACACTGGGGATGATACAATTCGTATTGAATTTTTAATCTTGTGTCAGTTTGACGACTTTCTACAAACTCAATATATGGCATTCTTCTTTTGTTTTGAATGAGTTTCGGATCGATAAATTCACTTTTACGGTTCATATCATTCCTCGAATCTTCCATTGTCAATGTACTCTCTCAGTCTTATCTCTTACAAATCAATCATAGAATAAATCTACAAAATCAAAAGGTTTGTGCTTACTCGTCGAAAGATGCTCATTATCATTCCGCCCAACCCGTCCACAGAGAACAACGCAGTTCAGTAACGAGATCGTTCATCTTTAGCGATAAGAACCGATCGATAGTTTGAGTTATTAGGAGACACTTTGATGATAAAAGATGATGAAAGGAAAAGTGAATTAGTGACGGGATTTGGGTGATAGATTGGTAGAGTAAGGCTGGATGAGGAAGAACAGACGGTTTAGGTGGTAAAGCAGACAGAAGAAGTGGTAAACTGAAAGGTTTGAATGGTAAACTGGATTCTCTAAACTGTTTCGAGTGGTAAACTGTAGAATGGATATTTTGATTACGAGCATCCACTTCAGTTCAGAATTCAAGTTTGAGTCAAATATATCCGTGTGGATTTTTCGTTTGAGTCAAATATATCCGTGTGGATTTTTCTTCAAGGTTTCTGATTAGTTAAAAAATCGGTTGGATAATGAGAAAACGAAAGCACAACCTTTTTCAAGTGAACTCTTTTGTCACTGTGCCATGGTAAAATCTGGCACAAACAAAAATCAACTTACTGGTTTGGATTCTTTCTGTGTCTTTTGCTGTGTATGGATGGTTCTGTGGTGTTTTTTTATTACAAAGATCTAATGACAAGTCATCAACTAAATAAAAAAATAATGTAATCAAGATCAAACCAAATGATCACTGGCAACCAAAAAGAAAATCATCATCGTAAATTCACCCTAAAAAGAAAATAACGGTGAATTCATTAAAATTTCAAAAGAAAAAGAAAACAATAACCCCAAATCCAACAAAATAAAATCAAAACCTAACAGAACTTTAAAACTTTCAAAGAAAAACAAACAAATTGATGATGATGATGATGATGATGATGAATTTGAATTTCCTTAAGAAGTTTTAAGATTTGAATTTTTCCATCTTTCTTCTTGATCAAATAAAACCAATAATCTAGAAGCTTTCCAAAATTGAATTACATTTATGATTTGTTTACCAAAACAAATTGGAAACATTAAGATTGCCATTAATTCAGGCCAAGTTAAATTAAAAGTTAATGTGGAGTTGATGATAGGTTTATACCAATGTGCTAAGTATAAACAAACGAAAAAGATTTCATTACATGCGCAAAAGATGAAGAGTGTATTCTGTTTTGAAAGAAATCGATGAGTGTTTCAGTTCTTTTGAAAGTTTGATTTGGTTTGGTTTGGTTCGGTACATGGATTGAGAGAAATTTAACTCACTGAGTTTGTGTAGTATGAATGTAAGATTCGACTTTGTTTCTTTGAGACAGTTTTGTGTGATTTTGATCCTGCAACCATAGAACTGAGAAAACCCAACAAAAGAA